TTTTCTCTCTTCCCTCACCTGCTTGTCCTGTAGAACTTCAGGAGGGAACTCCATAACATTGGCAAGAACATTGGTAAGTCAACACTCCCATTGCTATAAATTCCATTGCATTAGTGGGTATGCCCCAAGAGAGAAGGAAGACAAATGGGAGGGCCAGATGTATCCAAACTCTGATCTAGGCAACAGTAAGTTGTATTTAAGTGGCTCACAAATATGGTCACTCAGAAGATTTGAACCATGCATGACTCCTGTAGTCCTAGAGCACCATTGCCAGGACTGAAATATTATATGAGTTAGTCAAACAATACATGTGGTGCACCACTTTGTGGGATAATTCATTACTGGGAAACTTTAGATGGTTTGCCTCAGGTTTCCAAATCTGGTACTTCAAAGTACTGAATGTTCTTGCAGGATATCAGGAATTGAAAATCGATGACATCTTGAATTCATGTTTTTGCTGTGTTTCCCTTGGTAGCACTTTGACTTCCCTTTTTCTTTGGATGTTTATACTGTGCTTTCAAATGCTCAGTTGAAGTTTTAAATTAGTCAGCCCACCATATTTGCAGATTTGGCTTATGGGGATTTGATTATTCACAGATTTGATTAATGTTTTATTTATTTATCTATCTATTTATTTATTTGGAGTGCTTCTACCCCGCCCTTCTCAACCCCCTGGGGCGACTCAGGGCGGAATCTTTAGGAATCTATGGGTCCTCCAGTGCAACTCTATGGTCAATCTCTGGTGGATCTAGAGATTTCTAGAGAGGTATTCTCTCAGGATTTTTTTTTCTGTGGCTCTTAGACTTTTGTGGGGACACTGTGCCCCTAACCTCAGTGAATGTGGAGGGCCCACTGTCCTGCAAAATGCTAGAAACTTGGCAAGTCAATGAAAATTTCAGAGGGAGGATGATTTTTATTTGGGGAGGGCAATGTCTGCACTTTTCGTCCTCCAGGTACTTGCTTGGGACTATGGCAGTTAACCCACCAGAATGGCTGCTATTGCTGTGACAATTGCATCAGCAACTAAAGTCATTATTAAAGAACAATAGATGGGGGCAAGAAAAAGGAAGTGTGGTTGAAGTGGGAGTGCCTAGAAATGGAGGGGCAAAAGGGAAGAGAAGGAGCAAATGTTGCCAAATGCTGGAACAGTCACATTCCATCAAGGTCAGGGATTGGCCTTGACGTCAGCCAGCACAGGCAAAGTTGCACACACAAAGGTGGGAACCTGAGGAGTCCAATAAATCTCCTGAACTTTTGAAAGCTATGTTACAGCATTACTTTACCTCAGGGATGGGCAGAGTGCCACCCTGGGGCCACATGTGGAATTCCCCTCCTGGCAATTTTTTAAACAAAATGCCTTGCCTTCAGGCTTGCAAGGAAAGCCAAATATGTCAGAGCCCCTTCCACTCCCTTCCTAGCACTCTTTAATCTATTTGTTAAAACTAACCTATTTGTTAAAACTGTACATTTCTGTTTCTGTTTTTCAAAGCATACTTGGCAGTCTGGGCAGCCCTCAGAAGTTAATAGGACTAGAAAATTGAGCTCTGGACCTGTCAAATTGGTCCACCCCTAATGTTGTATGACTGTTGCAGTATTATTCCAATGGTGTCGGGGATGATGAGTTCCACACAGTTTTGGCTCCTGATTTGATGGACATGAAGGGTTTTTGCTGAAAGGTGGTGGAAAAATGCTGTTGGTTTGGCAGGTGTTTCATGCCTGGACCCTTCATTTTGGCAAGGCCTTTATTTCCTTTCTTTTGCTGATACATCATAATGTAACTGCTAAGTGCAGATGGTTGGCTCCATATAGAATAGTACATAGGAAGTGAAGGAAATGTAAGCACTTTTCTCCAAAAGTTTCTGTTCTGATGTAGTTCTGGGTGGGATACAGAGCATGAATTAAAACTCTGTAATGCTTGGCATAGAACTCTCAGAAAGCCACTCATTTCCCTGGGTCAGCATTTTAGCAAATAAGTTGAGTGAAGTGGTTGGTACGACTAAGGAGGTGCTGAGAAAAGGGAAAGACATTGACATAACTGGAAAGGATTTCCTCGAGAAGGAGGGAAGGATTCTACTTCCCTGTGCAGTTTACATTACCTTGCTGTTTCTATCTATCATTTAGAAAATTTAACATTTAACCTGTTGGCTGGCATCATGTTGGTGGCATACACAAGCAGAAGTCCACCTTGAGGATGTGGAGGTTAGTATTCTCTTCCTCCCTGTACAATGGCCAAAGCAATTCCACCTCCATCTTATCATTGAACCATTCTTTGGCTAGTGCAGGAAATTCACAGAACAATCTGATTATGTTCTAATACAGAATGACTACCTCATCCAGCAGACCTCACTGGACAATGTAATCATTCCTCATCCGGATACAGGGTTATGGCCAGATGCTTCTCCTAGCTCACTCAATCTCCACCAACCATGGAATGGCTGTGAGAATATTGTAGTGCAGTGGTTCTCAACCTGTGAGTCCCCAGATGATTTGGCCTTCAACTCCCAGAAATCCTAACAGCTGGTAAACTGGCTGGGATTTCTGGGAGTGGTAGGACCACTGTGTAGTGATTCAGTGGTTGGTCTGACAGGTGTAGAACTATTACACAATTAATATGCTATGCTGTGCCATGCATGGTTGCCAGACAATGGCCTCTTCCAGACTGAATTTGGACTTCTTAACCTTGGGTTTTGCAAACTTCTGCTGGTTGTTGGTGCCCCTATGTTCACTCATTCCATTTTTTTTAAAAAAAAAACAATCAGTTTTTAAAATGCATTCATCAGCATTACAACTGCCATAGCCATTATGCCAAGATAATCTAAAATATATAGGTAGTGGCATTGATACATATCAAGAAATCAATTGTTTTTATTTTCATCACAAACTAGCAGGTCTTTGGTAACATGAAATTCAAGACCAACCCACCTAAAGATCCTTTGCATCAAAACAATAACACATTGTTGTAGAGAAAATTCATTTTCACTTCTCCTAGTATTTATTTATTTATTTATTTATTTATTTATTTATTATTTACAGTATTTATATTCCACCTTTTTCACCCCACAGGGGACTCAAGGCGGATTACAATGCACATATACATGGCAAAAATTCAATGCCAGTTAGACATGCAACATATATAGAAAGACGCAGAGGCAATTTAACATTCCAGCTGTGCCCAGGCTTTTTCTGGCTTCAAGAGGGTATGCAGGATTCCGGCCTGATTCTGGCCACAGGGGGAGCTGCCGCTTCACTATCCATTGTGACACCGAGTCCTTTGATGGAGTACTTCCTCATTCTTCTGCACGCTGCTGGAAGGTTTTCTTTTATGGCGTCGTAAATTAGTTAAATTAGCCTCCCCGCATAAGCAGTACCTAAATTTCCTGATAGACAGATGCAACTGTCTTTTGGGCTGCATAGGTTGACAGCAAGCTAGATTAATAGATGGAAACTTACTCCAACCTGGACTGGCTTTGAACTCATGTCCTCTCAGTCAGTAGTGAGTTAATGCAGCTAGCTCTCAGCTAACTGCGCCACAGCCCGGTCCTACTACAAGGATTTGCAGCTAAGCCATGGAGGCTTCTATTACAGTGACAGAATGTACTCTACGCTTCCATTTGAATTTTAAATAAACGATCCAAAGCACTAAACCTATTTGGGCAATAAAGTTCACCATGTCTGATAGTTCATTTGAAGTTCAGATTAAAAACTGGGGTGAATTCACAACTCCACCAGCCAGCACTGGTGGACTCTTATCACACAGTAAAATACCCCATCTCTGATAGATACCATTTGCATACTGGTTCCTACAGATTCCGTCATATGACACATGGTCCATTTTGTAGGTGACTCAGTAATCCGTAGGCAAAGGATTTGCGGAGAGTACCATTCGTAAGACAGGTGGGAATTGACTCCATTCATCTTTAATTTCTCTGTGCACGTCAGAGGCACAGTATTTGGAGATGTGATGGTATACCCATCTGCAGGTCATCGGCAGCTCACCCTCCGTTAACTTATTGTGGGTTTCCCTTTGAAATGTATCAACAGATTATAGTGTTTGCATGGCCTGAAGTGGTTTAACAGTGCCAAATCGGGACAGTTAGAAGGTATAGCCTCATGCTTTTGAATGTTGATTCAGAGTCCCTCTTTCACCCATCTCACGCCACAAATGGCAGAAACCTAAATGTAAAAAAAAGTCCCTCCTTTTTTAAAAAATAGGCTTTTAAGGAATTACAACTTTATATGGTGAACAAATGTACATTAGATCCTATCCTTTCTTTGGAGGTGTATTACTTGCTGAATAAAGGGAGCATTCGAGGGAACAGTTTGTCCATTAAAACATGATTGTTTCTATGCGTGGTGATCACAGTGGATGGCAAGGAGGGAAGCCATGTTCATGATTAGGTCTAATTTGAACTTTTCAAAATATCCAAAAAACCCCTCAAGGTTTTCTAGCAAAACTAATACAACATATGTTCTGATTGTCTTCTTCCTGAAATAATTTCCCGTCACCTATTCCCTGAGTTCTAGGTGGGTAAAATTATTTAGAAATAGTCCCCATTAATTCTGTACCAGACCTGATGTGTATCATCACCAGCTCCAAAATGAAACTACGTGGTTTTTTCATATTGTGATCTCACCCTATAGCACAACATGTGAATAATATCAAGTGGCATTAAGAACCTTCTTACCCTGGATTAAAGCCATATGTCATATAAAAGCACCACCATTTCTTCTTCCTCTTTTTCTTTCAACCTTATTCTGTTGATTTCTTAGAAATCCTTATTGCACAATGACAAATGTTATCAAGTTTAATATTACAGAATTCATAGGTTATGATAATGTAGAACATCCCTGGTTGCCCGGTGAGGAACAGAGAAAGAAATTCTGCGATTCTGCTGATTTTGGGACCACACTTTTTTTCTGATTCTCACTTGAGATTGCCCATTGTCTCCTTCTGCTTCTGAGAGAAAGCACACTAACCCTCACCTTTGTTCCCCTCACAGGAAAGAAAGACATCTCTGCCTGCTTCCCCCACATGGACTCCACGGGTCCTGCGACGACAGACCAGCAGTTTAGATGGCTGGGTGAGCCCAGCGCCTCCTTCTGAGCCTGAGGAGGGGCTCCTAGATGCCTTCCGAACAGCCAGCATCACGACCCCACCTCCCCCCATGTCTCCCTCATGGAGTGAAAGATCTCTGTCTCCATTTCGTCAAGAGACAGATCCCAAGTCCAGCCGTCAGATACAGGTTTTGCTTGCCAGAAACATCATCAATGCTGCCCGGAGGAAGAGCTCCTCTCCCAAAGCTACAAGGGTAGAGAGTTTCCGGCCCTTCAGCCCACCTGCCACTTCTGCCAACATGCCGTCCTCATGTGGCAGTCCTAAGAGTGTGGGTAACCATTCCCCAAGCCCACTGCAGTCTCCCAGGCCAGTGAGGATGGAAGGATACAGACGTGTTTCCCTCCCTGTCTCCACGGCTCCTCCACCAATCAGTGCATCATCAAACAACAGTCCCAGGTTGCTAGGCAGCCAGTCACCAACCTATAAAAGTCCACTACAGTCTCCAAAAGCAGTGCGAATGAATGGCAACAAGTACTTCACTCTCCCAGCCAACACTGGGGCTTCACTCTTCAATGCAGCAACATCCAATAATGGCCCAAGAGCAGCGGGGCCCCATTCTTTCTCCCACAGGGATCCAAAACACACAATCCTAGATAGTCACAGAATCTTCACCGCACCAGCAAACATGAGCAGAAAATCGTGTCCCAGTCCAAAGAATGTGGACGCCTGCTCCCCAACTATTCCCAGCCCCCTGCAGTCTCCCAGAGTGACAACACATTCCCCAGTGAAGCGTTATACATCCCTGTCACCCACCAACTCAGACATCTCCCTTGACTCTGAAGACTCTGGGATCAAGTCGCCCAGTATTCGCAGCTTCAACATTTGCCCTCGAGGTTGGAATGGAAGCCTAAGGCTGAAGCGGGGCAGCCTTCCTGCAGAAGCACCCTGTTCCTCCTAAATGTGGGACAACAGAAGTGAACTAAAAACCAGTCCCACTAAACATGATGAAGCCTCCAGAGGAAGGTGCTGGATCTCCAAAAATGTCAGACCTTCTTCCAAGCCTGCCATTTTCTGGGAGAACTTTGAAGAAAAAGAGTAGAACTGGTCTATTCGTGGGAAAGACTTCTCATGGCAGACTTGCCCAAAGCAGAAAGAAATGTGACTGACATTATATCTCAGCACAATATATTCCCCTAGGGACCCTTTATAGTTCCTTCCCGCATTGCTACATTTGCTTGTGTATTTGGCTTTCATGGGCTCCAACTGACCTATCTCCACTGGACTGGAGCCACTAGAGACATCCTTGCTCAAAGGAGATTAATACGGCTTTGTCTGCTTTTGTTCTCTCTCTAAAATATCCTGTGAGAAGAGGACAATCACACACATACAGAGGAAGGCATGCACAGACACAGACCCGCAGCATAATCCCCAGCAGACTGTCAGCAAAAGGCCAGGAGGCAAGGCCTGTGCCAACTTTGTGCCTGCCTTTCATTTTAGTTGTAACTGTTTCTCCTTTACTCTGATGGGGCCACAAGGCCTCTCTGTCTCCACTCCAGCTGCCTGGGGAAATGAGTATAGAGTGTGAAAAACAGAGGGAATGAAGCCCACTCAGCAACTGTCTTTGCATGATTCCTCCAGATGCAAAGCCTGGCATTATATTGATCAGGAGTGGGCAAAGTGTGGTGCTAGGGCTCCATGCAGCCCCTTTTACATCCCAACCTCTTCTGACTCATTCAAATACCCATTTTTTTTTTTTACAAAAACAAATGAATTGCCACTACTGGGAACCTTCAGGAATAGGGATTGGCCTTTTCTATAAGTCATAGGGGGCCCTGCACGGTTCAATATTTTTTTTAAAACCCCAGCTGCATCTAGGAGAGTATTGTAGACATAACTTCTCAGCATCCCAAATGGTAATATCTCAAAAACCCTTAAGTTGTGGCATTGCCTGGCTGAAAAGGAAGATGCAGGAGGGAGAATCATCAGATGGAGCTACAATCATGGAATTCTATCACAATTTTAAGCATCTGATGATGCAGGACCTTGGTTCCCATTTCTGAAAACCAGGAGATGATTTCTGATTCATTCTGTAACTTTGGTCCTTGTTTCTCTTCTGCCCTCTTCTGCAGGGGGCTGGTGAAAGTTGATGAATACATATATAGTCTGAGAACCCAAAGAAGAAGAAGGCTTTGTGGTGGTATTTTGTCTGAACAGTTAGAGGGGAGAGATAATATTTTAGCATTCAACGTAAGAAAGTACAGTGTCGAGCTACCAACCAAGCAATTTTGTTGTGTGCCTTCAAGTTGTTTATGCATTGAAGCCATGGTCCTAATCGTGCCCACGGATGTTTGTTCAGCAATAGCAGTAATTGGCATATACCTGTCTTAAGCTGATCTATAAGCAAGAGAGTTTATGTTGTTGGTAGACATGGAGAAAGCCATGACCTCTAGAGAAGCTGATCTTTGTTAATGGGAAGGAGAAGAGTGTTGCCTCATTTGGAAGAAAGTTGCCTCAATAATATGTTGTAACATGATTCTTCCCTTGCTTATCTGTATGGAGTGTTCTGTCCCTCATCCTTTCAATTATTGGAGGTTTCGGTTTATGTTACTGGTGGTTGCCAGTACCAATCACCCCAGATACTCCATCCTTTTGTAATATGGGCAGGATAGCTATTGATCTGTGTGTGTGCCCTCAAATATTTTACAGATGAAAACTGGGACACATGTGGCCAAGCAACATCAGAATGTGCTCAAGATAGCAAAATTGGGGGGGGGGGGGCAAGCTGAGAGAAACTGTAACAGTTTACTTTGCCTGAGGATACTATCAAGGGCAAAAGTCCTTCCCCTCTTCTCTTCTCCCCCCTGCTGAGTTAATGGAGTGTAAACTACTTTTGCACTTTGAACTCAGTTGGTAGCAATTGAAGTAAGCTGAGAACAAAGAGGAAAAGTTGGAAGAGAAAAGAGAAACTGGGCATTTTCAAAGCACCTGAAAGAATAGGATGACAGAAGATTACTTAGGTCTGGACCTGCCAATCTGGGATAGTTGGAGAGTAAGGGTCTATTCTAGGTGGATCTATTGATCAGACTTAGGCCCCTTCCACACAGCTGAATAAAATCCTACATTTTCTGCTTTGAACTGGAATATATGACAGTGTGGACATAGATAACCCAGTTCAAAGCAGATATTATGGGATTTTCGACCTTGATATTCTGAGATATAGGGCTGTGTGGAAGGGCCCTTAGGCCCTTGTGTTTTGCTAGCATTGCAAGTCTTCTGATCCACTCAGCTGGCAACACTTGAGTGTCATATTTATTCTTGACCTACACAACCAAGACATTACATACAACAAGAACATCAGTCCAATAGCCTGAATATTACCAGGATCCAAAAAAAAAAACCCCAAAATCAAAACCCGAGATGCTTCTTACAGAGTAATTATTATTTTCCCAGCATTCAAAATTAGCATGGTAAATACGATTTGTTAAGACAATTTCAAAGATCTGGCATCCCTCAGAAAAACATCCTCTTTATTGTGAGGAGAGGGATTTGCTCCAACAGAGGACAGACGTGAAATTTGCATTTATGCCAGTTTTCTGGAATTATTTCCCTAACTCCACTGCAGCAACAATTTGATCAGTAGATCAGGTTGAAATACAGATATTTTAAGTTGAGAAGGATCATAAACAACCTATTACTGGATCATGCGTCTTGTTGCGGTTCTGACCAATTTGCCAGGCACTACGGACTCCCCAGGCTCCAACTGTCATTATACATACTATTCCTTTATTCATGATCCTGAAAAGAGGAGGATGGGTCTGCCTATTAAAGACCCTCTAAGCCTCTTAGGTTTAAATATCCCAAAGATCCTGTCTGATCTTGGAAGCTAAGTAGGGTTAGCCCTGGTTAGTACTTGAATTAAAGCATTTCAGAGAAAAGAATTGGCAAAATTATCTCTGAGTATTGACTGACTCAGAAAATTCTTTGAAATTTATGGGTTTGTTGTAAGTTGACTGCTAATAATCAACTGCCCTTTCTTATCTGCTTTGTCTTGATGAGACCACATCTCAAATACTGCAGTCCAGACCCACCCCGTGTTCCCTCTTGCCTGTTTGTTGAGTGATATGGTATCATGTAACTGATGCTCCAACTGGCATTGGCAAAGTCTGTATCATGTTATCGCATGGTGGCCATATCAGATGTTTCCCCTAAGTTACCCTTGATCATCCTCTATTTTTATCCCTATAACCTTTAGAGACAAGGATGTTGATTCAGTCTTAATGCAAGGTGAGTCAGAGATCATGTAATGGTGTGCTTTCAACCCCATCTTTGTTTTGTTCTCGTTTATGTGGGAGATCAAACTGTGTGCACGTGTATGGAGGAGTTCAAGCTGTGTTTTCCCCAGAAATATTCTGGTGCAAGTAAGCCAAGCTGTTCACGTGGTAGTATCATTGCATTGATTTCCCAGTTCTGCTTCACAAGCTCCAGCTGGGAAGCAAAGAGAAGAAATACATAAGTAACCAGAGTCTAAATCATATTTCTTCTCTTGACAAGAATTGATCCATTTAATCCGTTGGATTTACCTATGTGTTGCCTTGTTCTTCAACTGTTGATTCAATGAGTCTGTTTTGGAGGGATGAACCAACAGGAAGTTAAGTGTGCCAATCAGGCATTACTGGAGCCATGTGGACATCACAGGAATTATTGGGAATGAATAAGATTTTGGTTTTTTAAAATTAGAGCATAATGCTAGTACAGGCAAGGGCAAACTTCAATCCTCTTGGTGTTTTGGACTTCTACTCCCACTGTTCCTAGCAGCTGGTAAGCTTGCTGGTATTTGAAGTCCAAAACACCTGAAGGGCTGAAGTTTGCCCATGCCTGTGCTAAAACTTAGAGCAGTGATTCCCAACCTTTTTTTGACCAGGGACCACTTTGACCAGGGACCACTCACCAACATTAGTACCAAAAGGGCTTCAAATCGGTTTTTGGTCAACTTTAAATTTGGTTATTTGGGATGCAAATTCAGAAAATTGCATTGGATAGACCACATCAGCTCTACTTTCTGATAATAACATATGCCATCCAGTAATCACCATCTGCTCATCCACAGAAAACCATAGTTAATTAGCTTCAGCACTATAAGAAGGTTTTGTGAGCCCAGTTGCTTTTGTTGCAATGGTGTAGTAACAGTGAGGCTACATACCATATTTTAGTTCTTGTGGACCATGGACCACAGGTTGGAAACCACTGACTTTGTGTCTTCTGCGGGAGCAATATAGTGGTAGATTGAGGACAGTTGAACTGTATGTCTCCATACAACATATTATTAAAACACCATAAGATGAACTGGTAGCTGGCAACCTAGACACCTTTAAAAAGCAACTGGGCAAATTAATGAAGGCTGAGTATATCTATGGCCACTAGTTCCTCCAGCATCAGAGAGAGAGAGAGTCTCTGTATATTATTGGCTGGGGAAAAGAGTGTGGTTATATTCTTGTCCTGTTTGTAGCTGCCCATAAGTTGGACATGATGTAAACAGAGCCTGAAAGACAAAGGCATTTAGTTTGTTTCAATATGATTCTCCTTGTGTATTTATGAGTTTGCAGAAACAAGGGGTGTGTTTAGACTTGTTGCATTGTATGGAGAAGGCAGCAGGTTCCGTTCCCTGGATGGGAAAGATTCCTTTGTGTGAAATTCTGGAGAGTTGCTGGCAGGCAGTTTTGAAAGTGCCAAGCTAGAAAAACGTGTGGTCTCAATTGCTATCAAATTTATATGTAATATGGAAGCTCCCAAGCATTTTGCTGAGAAGATCAACCAATGGGACATGGTCGTTTTCTGTGAAGGCTGCACAGATAACAGCCTTGACCAAACACTTATTGGTATTGCTATCCATTGCCTCTTGCTTTCAGCTGCTTGGCATAACTTGGAACATTATTTCTGGGGTGGGGGAGGGGGGCGGGAATACAACTCCCAGAATATTTAGGCCACCACAACCATTGGGCCTCAAGACAAAAATGAAGCTTATGAAATAATTTGGGAATGGTTGTGATTGGCCACAGAAGAGATTCATAAGCAGAAAAGTCAACATTTTGCTACTGCAGGGACAGGCATCCTATCCTTGACTCAGCACCATTTGACCACTGAAAGGACGATGTAAGAACACCCAGTGCTAGAAAATGTGTTTGCTCTCCTGCAGCTGTTTGGCTTCTAAGGCGTGGAGGCTAAACAGATACCTTGCCTCTGCTCTGGTTTCACTGGAGGAATGGCAAGGGAAAGAAGAATATCGTATACTGAATCCCACAGCGAGGCCTCTTGTTGTGACTGATTGGTCAAAGCGATACATTTCAGTCCCACAGGCAGGGAGCATATGGTGCATCAAGTGCGGCTCTCAGATAGCCATCTGCTGGGCAGTCAATGTGTCCTTGGGGAAGTAGACATTTGCAGGGTAGGGTGGGGGTTGGAATGAGGAGCAGCAGAGCAAGGAAAAGCGGATAGTGCCCTCTAGAGATTGAAGGCGTGCATTGAATGGTTTTAGTTCTAAGAGGAGCACTGTGCAAATGTGTTTATGGGCCCTTTCAGACTACACAATTAGAGTGTTAGAATTCCAGTTTAACTGCTAGGGCAACATCCCATGGAACCCTGGAAAGGATATTTAGAACTCTCAGCCAGAGAGCAATTGTGCCACACTATGGATTCAGCCGTGATAGCGTGGAATCATTATGTTATAACCATGCAGTGTGAAAGGGCCCTAAGAAAAACCTGAACATAAAACAATGCTGGTTGGTTTGGTTTCTCAGACAGATAGGCAAAATTTGGTAAAGTTGTGTTGTTGGACAACAACTGGCAGAATTCACA